GAAGTGTATTTGGAGGTTTAGGATTCTCAGTCGGCTTTCCTCTTGCGAACTTCATATGTTTGAGCTGCTTTAAAGGCACGAGTCGGGATTGAATTGATGCGTTATTTTGTTCAAACATTAGGCAAGGGGTGCAATGAGGAACATTAGTGAGGAGAAAAAGCAAAAAGCACCATAGAAAACACTAAATTTCCCTTAGGAGGCCGGCCGTAGTACGACGGAGAGACACAGCGCTGCGAGGAGAGGGAGAACGCGAGATAGTACGTCATACGCGAGAGACGCAGAGACCACGTATGCCGTGGTGGATTACGCTGGCAGCGCGGGCAGCGCGGCGGGCAAGGCCTTAGCGCCATTGCCGCGCACTTTTGGGTCGCGATAGTGTCGCGCCCTCAGTGCTTGGGGAGCCCACTATCGCACCCTGGGAAGAACTTCTGCTGGTTGCCTAATCCTGACTCGTGGCTTTAAAAAGTTGAAACATGTTTCCATCTCGGAATGGGTGGAGCACACAATAAAGCAGTCATCGATGTATCGACGGTATAGAATTTTCTTCCGTTCTAGGACAGCTTTCGTTTCCTTTCGCCATGAAGGACTATTGCCGGTGTAGGTGGCCAGCCTCTGTCCCATAGCTAGTTCTCGGACGGTGTTTCTGTACAATTTGGGACAGGTGGAGCATAAGCGGCGCATCACAAGTTATGCCGAGCACCGGAGTGCCAATATTCTAAAAGAACAGCCAAAGATAGTGAAAAGGGGTAAAGGCAGATAAAACGTGCATAAGGTGACATTTTGATGGGGTGGTGCATAGTATCGTCTGCTGTGGTTCATGAGTAAATTGGAGCTTGCTGCTTCAAAGCGCCAACCAGGACATGATGCCGAATCCGCTTCCGAAACATTATTGGAGCACATGAGGTGGAATTTCGTTCCGAAAAATAACTTCCAGTTGGTTTCCAAATTCGTGTCGATACCACTGATTTGGACCGAGTTGGAAATCACAAATTCTCATAGGAGATGAGGATTTGCAGAGGGTAGGCATTACGAGTGCTTTTATTGCAGTGCCCTGCAAATCTTTTAGTACCACACACCACAACTGAACAAGCCTACCTTGCCCAAGTCACAGGTATTTTCTCGGAATCCATTCATAGTGCAACAAAATTTACTAAATCGCTAGCAGTTATTAATGCTCTTTAATTTACGAGATCGGATCCAAGCATATGTGTAGGATAAGCAGCAGAGTTGTCGTGCTGTCATAGAACGGCTCATTCTGTGAGTCCGGTCTCCTGTTCTTCGGGAGTCAGCAACCAATACGTTTCCAGAGCGCCTTTTCCCTGGAATAGTGAAAAGGGTTATAAAATGAAATGAAAGGGAGCGAAATAAAGTTGAGAAATACCAGAATTCAGGTCATGAAAAATGCCACGAGACGTACAGTCATGAGACAATCAATCAGAAGAATAGCGGAGAGAAATATGACTTCTAATGGCTACTCTCAAAGATTAGATCAGAGGTGGTGAACACTAAAGAGGTATGGTAGGACTGCACCTAATGCCATTCCATCCACCGATGTCGTCTTCGAATTAGCTTCTTCTCCTAGTCATCTCACTCTCTGCCTTCAAATTGCGCAGTTTTACGGAATCTCACCT